CGCGCTGCGAAATCCTGCATCAAATCCGCACGGAGAAGGAAGGGCTCAGGAACGTAAGCAGAAATTGCCCGGACAACGCCGTAGCTTGCCCTCTCTCTGCCGCAGAGGAAGGGGGGCCATGGATTTCGCGCCCCCTGCCGCTTTAGTAGGGGTATTAGATGGCATTCCTCCATTTCCCGCGCAGGCGTTGTCGTCGCAATTCCAACGTGCTTGCCTGGCCCTCAGATGGTTAAACCTCCAGCAGGCGTCAGAAGCCTCGGCCAATTCCCTCTGGAACCATTTCAACCGGGGGCGCTGGGGCAGGAGGTGGGGGTTGTCCTGATGATGAGGATGGCGGGGGCAAATACAATCGCATCGCAGCCCTTCTCCTGGATCTGCCGCGCGGCGGGGGCGGAGGTGGAGGAGGCGCTCCTCCGCCGCCACCTGATCCCGCTGATCTCTGGCGACAGGCTGGCCGGGCAACCGAGGAGAAATTGGGGTCTGCCCTAGGTTCTAGTGTGCTTCGAGCGTGGAAGCCGCATGCCGCGCGCGTAATTTCTTCTGCTTCGCCCGATGTAGCAGGGGCGCAGTCTCGGATCGTGGAAGCCATGGGCTTCTCGGTTCTGGCACCGAAGTTGCATGATTGAGGGCGCTTCAATCGTCTCGACGCCTCATCGCGCCCATCGCGCCGTATTCGGCCGATCCGTTGAGCTGGATGCGCCAAAGAGAGGGCCCGCCCGCGCGGCAGGTCCATCTCGTTGCTCAAAATCTACAGGATGGAACAGGATGCCCAGAACGAAGTGCGGTTATTGACGGGTCGGGGAATGCTCGGGGAATGGGCAGCGCTGGATATCTCGGGCCCCCCTTCAGACCGAAACTTACATGAATGGGCCAGACCGGGATCTGTTCTACTTCGCTATGAATGGGTTGCTGTTCATCGCAGAACGCATTGCGGTGAGTTGCCCCCCCTTGAGACGGCTGCCGCCATCCACGAGCATTTCCACCGTCAAATAATGGCGCGCGCGCCTAAGATGGAAGCGGCGCTTGCCCGGCATGATTCTTTCCAGAAGCAATGTCGGAGACGGGATTCGCATGTTCGATTGGTTGATTGCCCAGTTGCAGAAGCGAGTGGATCGCGCGCGTGGGTTTTCCGATGTTGGCCCCCGAGCGACGGCGCTGAGTCAGCTGGGGCGATGGGGGCGCGGGGTTGCCAGCGAAGCCGCGCCGGGGGCTGCCCCGGGCTCAGTTCCGTCGGGGCAGGCTGCGGACCGCGCCCGAGACGGGCGCCCGAAGGGGGAAGTTCCATGCGAATATGTGGCCAGGGGGGGCCCGCTCTCGGCGCAGCGCGGGGTGCCCTTGCAGTCGCGAGAGACCTGCGGCCGCGCTGGCTCAGCCCGCGCGGCCCCCGCAGAAGGTCGGCGCCGCCCTCCGCGGAAGAGGGCGGGAGAGAAGGGCCGAGTCGATCCGCTTTTCCTGGGCCGTCCGTGCCCCGGCGGCCCGAAAGTTCGAAGGGCATTTCGCGCCTATAAGCAATTGTGTATTCCGCTGTCTCCCGGGGAAATGCGACGGCCCAATCGATGAATTGCCTTCGCTGTTGCAGACAGCATCGTGGATCTACTGGCGATGGGGAGTCGAGCAGAGATAAGTGCGAGGAAGGTGAAACAGGAGCAGGGAAAGGCCTGGGGTGTGAGCACCGTGAGAAGCAAGCCAGTTCTGCCGCTGCCAATGCGAAGGCAAATGCCGCCCTTTGTTTCGGCGCTGGCAGCGAGGGCGGCAGCCAGAAATGTGGCGGGGGTAAGAGCGCCAAGTGCAGCGAGGCAAGGCGCCTTGCTGGCAGTGACAGGAGAGTAGGAGGTGACCTCATTGATCGCGCTGTAGGTATCGCGCCAGCGCCACGGGCCACGAGTGACGAGCGCCCCCAGTGATCGGCGGTGTAACCAATCTCCTCGGATGTACGCTGAATCCTTACCTGCGTCTCACGCTGGAGGTCCTTCTTCTCGTAATGAAGACGATCATTGTTCCAGTGATCCGCGAGTGGTTTAACCGCTTGCGCGAGCGGAGGAACCAATGCAGGGGCCAGGTGGGGGTCCGCGCAATTCGCGGAATGGCACGTTGCGCTTTCTGATGGATGCCAGCCCCGGTTTCGCCAATAGCACCGGCCGCGCGTTGGAGAGGGAGTCTCTGGACCCGCATTTTGCCCCAGACCTTGTTGCCTGCCCCGCCCCGATGGGGTCGAGCACGTACTTCGTGTCACTAGTCGGCTCGACTGCGTGGCAGTTGTGGGAGGTCGCGGGCCAAAGTGAGCCCTTTTCCGTCGTGGGACAGACCGATCACGTGGCACGCTCTGTATTTCTTTCCATGTCCGATGTGTTCGAGAAGGGGAGTATTTTTGTTACTATGTTAATTGAATGCCATGCGTCCTCGAACTGCCAAGGTCATGCATGGCTGAACCCCACAAGCCAGCTGCGTGAAACCGGTGATTTTGTTTCGCATAAATTATCGGCAAGGGTTCACCGATCGATCAAAAAACTCACCGCTGCGCTCAGGAAGGCTCGTCGCCGCACGATTCGGAAAGTACTCTCGCACCCTGGGGAAAGGCGGAGGCTTCGCAGAACTCGGACCACAATGACGTTCGCGTCGAACGCCGCGAGCCACGCGGCCTTGCTGAACGCCTCAGAGCTCGAAGATGAGGCTTGGTATCTTCAGTTGAGATGGGACTTTTAAACTGAAGGCGAAGCCACCCGTAGTGGCTCAGCCGCTGCGGGCCACGGAGCCCTTGACTGTGTCAAGCTCGGTTCGATGCGTTTTGCCGCCGATGCCGGGTGCGGTTTCTACTTCGTTGGTGAGAAATTTATCCGGGTCGCTAACGCTATGGGTGAGATTTGGAGGTTGTCGTCGAAAATAATCCTGAAGGTTGCTGGGGGTGCCAGTGAACCCCTCGGCACAGTGAGCGGAGCTTATCCCAAGTTTAAGGGCGGTAGTTTCGAGGCTCTGGTTATGCCAGAGAGACCGAGCGTCATATCTGTAAGGGGCGGTGTATCGATCACGGGGCGCCCACCAGGCGCCCACGAGGCGGCACGGGCGGCAACGTGGCGCAACCTCGGCATACCCTCCAAGCGCGGTGCGCCCACGAGGTGCCCACGAGGCGCATGGGCTTCAACGTGGCGCAACCTTGGGCATACCTGCCAGATGCGGGGCGCCCACGAGCGCCCACGAGGCGGCACGGGCGGCAACGTGGCGCAACTTCAGTGTACCCCATATGTGCGGGGCGCCTGCGAGGCGCGCAGGAGGCGACACGGGCGGCAACGTGGCGCAACCTCGGCATACCCCCAAACGCGGGGCGCCCACGAGGCGCCCAGGAGGCGGCCTGGGCGGCAACGTCGCGAAAAAAACCCAACATTCTCACCCAGCTCTTCGAAAGAACCATGCGAACTCTTGGGTGCAATCACCGTTTGGGGAATTGTACGGTCTGGGACACACATGTCCCCCCCCCCACCCGCCCCCTCCAGTTTCGGCAGCGGAAGTCTGGACCCCGCCAAGGCCCCCCGGGCCCCCCCCCCAGGCGGCTCAAAACAGTTCCCGGGGACAAATAAGCGACCAGACAGCTCAACTGGGATATTAGGAAGTTCGAACAATTCCAGCACGGCTCCAGACAGCCGAAGCAGCTCTCTTGACGTGTTCATGGGGGCCCGAAGGACACCCTTCAGAGCTCCTACCGAATACAACATTCATGTATGTTCGAGTGGTCTTTGTATGAGTTTCGTACATTTGCTGTTCCGTTCCTCTGGGCGCCCGCGACGGGCGAAGTGGTCCCCAGGTTCGCACGCAGACGGCCCCCCAAAGTCCGAAGACCCAGGGGCCCAAGACGGTTCAAAGAGGCCCCCAGATGGATGCAAAACGGCCCAAGAGATCCAAGAGAGCCCCGAGACGGCCCAAGATGTGCCCAAGACGGCAGCAATACGGCCCTAAGTGGTTCACAGAGGGCCTGAAGACAGCCCACGGGGCCCCCGAAACGGCCCCCCAAAGGCCCCAACCGACATTCAATCTTGCTCAGGAGGCCTTCAGTTCGTTTCTCGAGCGGCCTGAAAGAGGCCCAACCCTGGGGCTTTCAGATCGACGGCTACGCTTGACGAGGATCGTCATCCGTGGCTCATCCTGCTCTTCGCGGTTGGCCAGGGGCGGCCACCACGCCACGCTGAATTACCAGTCGCCTCCAGTCCACAGGCGAAGGGTAGTGGTGCGGCATGGGGGCGCGGGGGGTGGGGGAGCAGGGGGAGCGGTAGATCTCTTCGCGAAGGGTGGGAACGGAGTTCGGAAGAGCCGATTCTTTAAACGCTCATGTGTTTGTGGCGTTTCTGAGCCAATTTTTTCACAGAGATGTGTCTTCAACAGCGCATTGAGCACTACTTCATTGTGACATCTTCTGGGACTGGTAGGAGGTTCGCAAAACATGCGTTGGCGTCGTTGAGGTCCTTTGTTTTTGCAAGCTCTTCCTATTTCTGTCTTTCGTTCATTTCGACAGTTTCGATTCGATTGTCCGATCTCTACGACCCCCCTCCATAGGAGGGAATTTGCCTTCGACTGTGCAGCCTTGTCCGCTTGTATTTCCTGGTGAAGGAGGATGATAGGTATGGCGAGGCAGTCCGAGAGTTCTGACACAGAGCAGTCGGAGTTCGTAGGGGGCTCGGTTTTTCTTCTTGCCTTCGTGTTTGTCCATCCTTGGGGCACAGCTGGACATCTTAACCCAGCCTAGGGAAAAAGGGCGGACTTTCGGACGGGGCTAGGACAAGGATCAATCCGTTCTAGAGCGTTCCGGAACGCTCTCAGAGCGTTCCGGATCGCTCTTAGAAGGCCGCGGCGCCTGAGACATTTTCCAGAGCCGCCAGATCTCAGAGGTGCTCGATTTATCCTCACCCGATGTTTTCCTCGCCCTGGCTTCGTCTTAGGCTTCGCTCCGCGCTTGCTCTTGGGGCGTGCCTTGTGCCGCTCGCCTGGGGCTGTTCGCATCAGCTCGCGCGGAGGCGCCGAGAGGAGGTGCTGCCGGCACTGCAAGGCGCCGAAGGCCGGAGCTGGGGGCCGGGGCGCGCGCGACCATAGGGGTCGGGTACCCTTGCTTTAGATGATCGTTTGGGGGACCTTGCTGCGGCCCACCTAGCGGATCTATTCGACTCTAGTTCGATTCTAGGTCGATTCAAGTTTCATTCAGGTTCGACTCGAGTCGACGGACGTTCGACGCAGCCTCGATGCGTGAGTGGAGCGAGTGGCTCCAGGAAAGTCCCCAGACTGAGTATCTAACCTGCCCCCCATCCACATGATGTTTGCTTCGTGCCGCCTCGGCGCTGCGGCAGCGCAGGAACGGGCGCCCAGTCTCAAGGAACCCCGACGGTCTCATTGGTATCCCCCGGAGGGAAATTCTCAAGGTTGAGCGATTCACGTGGGCCCCGGCCGACCGAGACATGAGTCCATATCCACGGTGCGAGGGATGCTATAGTCCCAAGCCGTCGTGTTCTCCGCGTGCCAGCGCCGCCGACGTCGGGCACGTATTCCCGCGTGCACGGGGAGACTTGCCACCTTCTCTTTCTTGCCCTCCCTGTCCTGCTCCCCCATTCCGCTCGACCCCTCTCCTCCCCCGTCCTCCCACAACGGGACGAGGATTGATCTGTGTACCGAGCATCTCCTACAGAGTGAGCAGGGTATGAAAGGAGTCGCAGCAGAGAAGGAGGGATGGAAGGAGGGATAGGGATGTGTGGAGAGAGGGATGGGGTCAGATGTGGAGGAAGGGGTGGCGGGAGGGGAAGGGATCGAGTGGGGATAGAGGAGAATGATAAAGCAGGTGCGAGCAATTGATCGCAGTGCAAAAGCCCTTGCCTGGAGAGCACAGTGAGGCTGGTGCGTCTTTGGGGGCCATCCTTGGGCAAAGCCTGGCAATCTTGCGGCGGGTGGCTTTTTTTCTGGGCTTTGCCCATCGTGGGGCCTTTTTGGTACATCTTAGGGTCTCTGGACCCTCCCGCTGCTTTCTCTCCTCATCCTCTGAACGCGGACTCCTCGTCGAATCGAGCAGACAAGCTCTGCGGTTCGAGCTGACACTCCGTGAGAGTGATGTGATGCAGTAAAGACCATGGGGCTACGGCGAGTGGCACGGGGAAGACATCACAACTGCACACCCGCATCCTCCTACTCCCCAAGCAGCCTCTTCCATCGGGCGCCCTTAAACTTGACATCGCCACCAAGATCGAAGCCCACCTGCAGCTAGGAAGGTGAATCCCGATCTTGGTAGTTGGTAGATATGGGCCACATCAGGCCTTGTTAACTAGTAACCTACACCAGCACCAAGATCTTCCTGGGTCATCCTCGCTCGATGAAGAAGGGCCCTCGATCTTAGGTGCTGGCGTCAATCCCTCCTCCGTCTCTGTAAGTCTTGGCGTGATCGAGTCCGAGTGTGAGAAGACCTGAGTATGAATGAGCCTGAGTGACAGTGAACCCCTGGAGATGCTGGCGTCGAACTCTTTTGCGGGATCGCAAGGAATGTGGCAGGAAGGGTTCAGCAAGACTTTTTCTCCGAGTAGCGCTTCGCTAGAGGGTTCTAATGGTGTTGGTGTTGAACGATTTTTTTAGCCGAGTATCCGCAGGGGGGGCCGGGGGAGGCGTCTCCTTGGCCCAGCGGCGGCCGGGCAGCTCGGTCCGGCAGCGCTGACTAGGGTGTCCTGGCTCTAGTCCACGGTTTAGTAGTGCTCACTATGGAGCTCTGGCTCGATGTGGTCCAGAAGTGCGATTCGCTATAGTGTTTTGGCGCAGCGACGAATGCTCAGAATGAGTATTGGTGCACGGCGGCTCCCTGACGAAGATTGGGTGGATTTTATCAAACGTTCTACTTCTGCAGCGTTGGACCTTTCTTATAAATGCGGCGTGCGCGATTGGGTTGATGATTTTCTACATACCAAGAGGCGTCTCCACGATAAGATGCAATCGGCCTCTGGCGGGCGGTGGGGGACGAGGCTACTGGACTGGCACCCATGGCACCACTTACGTGCCCGGCGACACGTTGGAAGGCAGCGTAAACGTTGGCAAGACACTTGAGAGCACAAGTGAGGGTTGCGCGCGGCCCGGCGTCATGCTGGGGCAGACTCTTCTGCCCTACGGGCCCTCTCTCTCTTTCTCATTTGAAATGCACTTTTTGTTGGGGTTCGAACGCAGTGTGTTTTACGAATGTTCCTATCTATTGTCCTCTACTGTGGCTTGAATCCCATGCGGTTTGCGTATGTTCCTACAGATTGCTCGTCCCCCATGCACCGAAGCGGTGCGTAAAGTTTGATTGTTGAGACATCGTACAGGTTAACGGAGATACCCGACAAGCGTAAGTCGTGTCCTCTTGGGGTCGGAGCATATTTCCAGCAAGTATTTTACAACCTGGGCCATCCCATGATCACAAGCAGAAGTGAAATTAGGTTTTGCACGTTCCCCAAGTCAATCAATAATTTTCAGTTCTCGAGTATGTGTCTTTCAGTATCCGCGCAAAGTGGAAACATGTCGATGCGCGGTACAGGGAAAGGAACGGAGCCATATGGAGCTGTTCCGTCAAGTTTCAAATCCTTGGGCCGTGTGACATTATCCCTGCGAGAGATATGCGGCAATTCCTCCTCTTTTCACAAGTCGCAAAGCCTGGCGAGAGCAGAAGCACCCACATGGGGTCCATATCGAATCGAGTCGGTCTTGCGTAACATGGCGGTTCGATCCATAACGGCTGCAGTTCCTCCTCATCTTGCACCTTTTCCTCCTCATCATCATCCTGCTCCGATTTGTCCTACGCGAATATACATATTGTTGTTGCGCTTGCTCGTGCTCCTGCGTTTGCTCCTGCTCGTGCTCTCGATGGTTGTTGCTCTGGACTTCTATAACTTTCAGGCCGGGTATTTTTTCATTACGTTTAGCTGTTTTTTTGTGCCACGCGTTGTATGTGTGGTTTGTTTCGATTCTTGCCAAACCATTGCAACGTGCGGTTCTGTGCGAGCATGCTGTACGGGTTCGTAGGTGCTGGTGGCGTTGATTGATTTGTTTTGGCATTGCTTGTTCTGCTGTGTTAACTTGGCACCAGTCGTCGTTGATCTTATTACCCCAGTGCCCATTCCCCCCAGGAGGCACCCGAGGGGGGAATGACCACAAAGGGTCCCCCCCACCTGGAGGGAGCCAATTCCGAAGGGAGTACGAGGATGAGGACGACGAAAATGGATAACCAAAGAAGGCTAAGGATGGTCGGAGGGTAAACGACAGGACGTGATGTTTGCCATCATTTGTATTGGCCCAGGCCGAAATACTGCATCTCTTGCGCTTGCCCGAACGGTCAGTGTAGCTCGAGCTGTGTACGCGCACCAGGCACGTCTAGATTGACTGCCCACTTCCGAAGCTGGCTGTTGAACAGAACTTGTCAAATGTAGCAAACCGCGCGTACCCTCCAAACGCCATACAGCAGACGTGTAATTACATGTGTTCACCGCCCGCTAGGCGCACCACGCCCACGGTACTTAGGCGTACCCCCCTCCCAACATCCGGGCGACTGCCATATTGTAAGACGTCGCTCTGTCGGAGCCATATTTGACAGATTACTCGCAGGCAGCAGTCGCACAGTTTGGCAAAACGCGCCAGCCCTTCATAGTCTCAGACGGCAGGATCTTGCCAGGTCCGACTCACGGAGCCAGACGTCGGCTTCGAGGAGAGAGCGATTTTCGTTTTGGCCCATCTCTTGTACTTGGTCTCGGGCTTGTGCGCGGCCGCAGCTGGCCACTTCATGGCTGGGCCCTCTGCTTTGGTATCCTCCGCCTTTCGCTTTGCCCTCTTATTGGTCGTATGCTGGATGAGTGCAGCATGCTGCGTCGCTATCTTCTCCACCGCTTTTGCCTCGGCCAGCTTCTCGGCGCTCGGCAAGGCTGACGCGCCTCCGAGTGCATCGGCCAGAGTTGCATCAGTTGCCGAAACGGCCGCCCGAGCCTTAGCTACTTGAGTTGGTGGGGCCGCAATCGGCGGCGGGCCCCAAACATTCGTAACAGGGCCAGCCTGTGCGAGAGCCGCAGCGGCAACAGCAGGGACATGCCATTGCTTCAGCGGGCTGGCTGCCTGCTGACCCTCTGCCCTGGCTATCGGTGGTGCCTTGCTGCCCAGCTCCCGTGCTAGGGAAACAGCGCTGCTCCCAGATGTTGCCGAAGCACGTCAGATTAGGGACACCGCCGCCGTTCGCGCCTTGAGGGTGCGCGCCTGGGGCTGGCATGCCTGAGCCGATCATGGCCAGCTGCATTGTCTGGAGCCGGTTGAGCCCCATGGCCTCCGCCGATTGCATGAAGCTCGCCGCGTCCAGCTTCATCCCGTCAGAGTGCGCCAGGCGGCCCTGTCCAAGGTCGAGCTGCATCGGTTGCTTCGGTCCTGCAAGCTCGGCCCTGACGTTCAAGTTTGAAGTCCTGCATGGGGTCATCTCCCTGACGTGGGCCCAGTTGTCTAACACCATGCTCTGGGACGGATCGGGCTCATCGTACATCATCTTGTGCACGGCCTCGGGCAGTACGTCAGGCGTGCTTGGCCACGTGCGGACAAGCGGTAGCAGCTGGCAAGCAGGAGGTGCCGTTTTTTTTGTTGAGTGCCCCCGTAGAGTCGTACCTGTTCTTCGCCGTAATTTGGTCGGTCCATGCTGCGGCGGCCAGCAGGCTGGCTACATCCGCGCAGGTCGGCGGTGATGGACGGAACAGCCTACCCCTGAGAAGCCGATTGATTACGACCTTGCGCTTCGAGTCGGAACTCCACGGGACATCGGGGTTTGGCACGATGGCCCAGCCGTTGGCGGTGAGGAAGTTGAGCACGCTGCCAGGCGTAGACCACGATTGTGTCTGCTTCTCCATGGCCCCCAGCCTGTCGGTTCGCATCTAGAGAGGAAGACCTTGGTCGAATCAGCTCCCTGAACTTGCCTGGATCAAACTCACAGCTCCGCCTGCGAGAACGGGCTGGGAGGTGGACTTGCTCATGTTGCAGAGCGAGCTGTGCGTGCTCACTTGCATGGCTGAAAGCATCTCGCTCGAGGTACCTATGGTCCCTTGAAGCTCGAGCACCTGCGTTGAGCTCTGACACTCAAGGACGCACTTGGCGACTGTGGCCATCAGAAGCGCTCTAGGGCAGGTAGGGAATGGTCGTGGCGTACCCGGAAACACAGAATACGCATAGTGCCTGCAAACATTGCCAGTGAGCTAAAATGGTTACGGTATGCTTGTTTTGTTGTCACGGGTGGGGTTCTTGATGTTGATCTGTTTTCGCTCACCCTCGCGCGCAACCCCCAATGCCATGGGACATCTTAAACGCGCACCGCACCAGGCCAAGTGGGGAAGCTAATCGCGAGCAGATCTTCCCGTCGTCCCTCCTATAGACGACAGATAATGCGAAAGCCAGGGGAAATATACTTCAGAACTTGGACGCCATGAATGGTCAATATTGGAAATTACGGACCCAGGACCTCGCCAGGAGTTCGTGATGTTCAAGATCCTGGGCGTGGCTTCCAACCACATTTTTTTACCTTGAATTTCTGGCGAACATTTCAATCGACATTTCGAAATTGAAGATTGCGGTTGTCTTTTAGAAACGAGAATTTTCAATCTCAGAAATCCAGGGCGTCCAGTGCTTCTGCCCCACATCAGGCCCAAGCTCTGACGAGGGAGGCCGGAGGATGGTGGCGAGGGCCTGCCTTGCCGAACCGAGGCGCTCTGCGAGCCCATCGGACGAATCGGACGTCCCAAAGGCCAATGCCACTCCCTCATCCTACCCCCTCCCTTGCGCCAAAACCGGTATAGAGAGAGAGAGAGAGAGAAACAAAACAAAAAAAACAACTGCGCGAGGAGGGAGAGGGCAACGACGAGGGGCAGACGCAGGACGAGGAGGAGGATTAGGAGGAAGAGGGGGGACGAGGAGACACTGGAGGCCTGAGGACAGTAGAGGGAGGGACGCAGGAGGAGGGATTAAGGAGGGCAGGATTTCATGAGGAGGATCAGCAGCAGTGGGAAAGGGGAGGGAGGAGAAGGAGGAGGAGGATGAAGAGGAGGATGGTTTCCATTTCAGTGATGGTGCATTCGTTTGCCTTATGTGCCGGCGACAAGACGGTGTGCGCTCGTGTGGTGTGTGGGGCTATTGCTCTAGGTTCTTTGAGGGAGACAGCAAAGGGCGATAGGCCACGAACTTGCTTTCTGATCTGCTCGGCTTTGCTGCTGGTGATGCACATAAGCAGCATCACAGCAGCAGCAGCAGCAGCGATCCCCGCCAGCCGAGCCCCGCTGGCCTCCGCGGGCCTTCCCCAGATTCTGGTGGCTTCCCCAAAGCAGCGGCATTGCGCCGACGCTCTAATGTTTGTTCCCTGCGCGGGCTGGAGCTCTCGAGCCCGCCCCCAGGATACCTGCTTTCCGCCGCCGCGGCCTCGGGGTCCGGAGGCGGGCCCAGGACGCCGACATCGCGAAGATGTGCTTGTCCGTGCCTTCTTCGAGACGCCCAGTGGTCTGTCGGGCGGGGCTGGGACGAGGAGAACTCGTTTCCAGAGCGTTGCAGAACTCTCCCAGAGCGCTCCGGAACGTTCTGAGAAGGCCGCGGTGCCCGAGACGTCCTCCAGAGCCGCCAGGTCTCAGAGATTTTTGATTTTTCATCGCTCGAGTTTGTGCTCGTCTTGGCTTCGTCGGAGTCTGGCGGGGACCCCTCCTGGGAGTGGCTCGTCTGTCGCCAGTGGTCGCACCGGGGAGGGCAGGAAAGCAGGCGGGCGGGCTGGCGGGCGGGGAGGGCGGACGCAGGACGGGCAGCCCAGCGCCGCCGCGGCCGGCGAGGAGGCGAAGGAGGCGCCGCGGCGTCTCAAGGTCGGGGGTTGCTCAAGGCGCCCCTGGCCCAAGGTGCTCCCAGCTTCTCGCTCCATTTTGGATCCCGCGGGGTCCTCTGGGCCCCGTGAGGGGTGCTCTGGAGGCCGCGGGGGCCTCCGTGGAAGTTCTGGGAGCCCCTTCGGCCAGGGGCGCTTCTAGCAAACCCTGAAAGATGCCTTCACTGCAGAGCTTGGGGAGGAGCAGAAGGGATGAGGGGTGGTGCACTGGTCGGCTCAGAGGAGGAAAGGTACCCATCCCGCTACCCTTGCATCGTTTCTGCCTTGTTGGGCTTCCTGGGAGGCCCTGGCCGCCACCGCTGGATTCGCATCGAAATGCAGCTCAGAACGCCCCCTGGGGGAGGTCAAGGGGAAAGCGGTATCAGTACGTTTTGGTTTCCCGAGAGGGGGGAGCATTTGTCGGCGGCACGCAACATTGGCTGAATGTGGGGCTGCCCTCGGTTGACGCAGGCCCGAAAAGATGGAAACGCGAAGTCCCTTGCACGTGTAGGGTGGAATCCGTGATTTGGGCCTCTTCGGGCCCCCTTGAGGGTTGAGACACATAGGTCGTCCTGGGGGCCTCTGGGGCCGATTTGGAGGCATATCGGGTGAATCTGGGGTCCTCTTGGCGACGTCTTGCGCCGTTTTAGAGGCCATCACGGACCGTCTTCAGCCGCTTGTGTTTGCAATCTTGGGCCAGCTAGGCCGCCTTGTAGGCCCTCTGGACGATGTCTTGGACTGAAAACAATTTGGGAACATATTGTCGGGTTGGCCAGCTGCACGCGCCGATGCACCATCGGGCATTGGGCACCTTTTTGGATGGGCCATCAAATGTTCGACGACTCGGCACGCTTAGCACACCTTTGCAAGCAAGAGGGGGCGGCGGGTCGAAGACGCCTACGGCGAATCACAGACTGCCCCATGCGGCAAAATGTTGTGCCGAAGTCTGGCGAAAGTTTTGAACGATGTGTTTCCCCTTCCGCTGTGGGT